CAGCAGCCCCTCTCCAGCCCCAGCAGCCTCTCTCCAGCTCCAGCAGCCCCTCTCCAGCCCTAGCAGCCCCTCTCCAGCTCCAGCAGCCTCTCTCCAGCCCCAGCAGCCTCTCTCCAGCTCCAGCAGCCTCTCTCCAGCTCCAGCCTGCCAGCAAGGCTGCCCCTGTCTGAGTCATCCCTGACACACAGGTCAGCCCAGATGTAATTGTCTTGAAATACAACAAACACCATCAATTTTCTGGCTTTGAGTTGCAAAGGTTGGCAAACACACGAGGAAGGTTACACACTGCTCCTCCCTGTGGGTGGGACAGGGCACGGCAGTGGTGGGGAGGTGCCGGGTGGAGCTGGCTGGGTGGGTTTGGGAGCACCGCGTCCTGGGGGTCCTGTCCCTCGGGTGCTGCTGGCAGTGGAGAGGACACAGTTTATTTCTGCCTGCTCGGTGTGTGCTGGCAGGGCTGGAGCATCCTGGGGAGCAAGGAATCTCCCCTGGGGCTTTGGTCCCCTAAAGATCCCCTGGGTTTTATCTCCTTCACACCCTGAGAAAGGAGCAGGAGCATGGAAGCAGCAGAGATGCAGGGAGGAGAGGCTGGAAAGCATCTCCTGAATATTAAACACCATGTGGAGCGTGTGTGTCTTGCACTCTGCAAGGGCTGGAGCTCACCTGCTGTGTCTTCTCCTTCCCCACGCCTAAAGATCCACGTGCTCTACCCCTTCACCACACGACATTGTCTCGGGAATGTCCCAGTGCAAACGAAGCACTGAGGAGCACCCGAGTGAGACCTCACCTCCCATGTAGGCAATGGAGAAACCCCTCTTGGCCGTGTTGCGGTCGGTGTGGAGGACCAGCAGCAGCTGGTTGTGGTGGGAGGTGATGGGTGCTGGGCTCTCCCACCCACACCAACGCCCCAGCAGGGACCCGTTCTCGTTGCCGCCGTCGAAGGCAGCCAGGTGGTCATAGTCACAGCTCCCTGTCAGGCTGTTCCTGCCCTCCAGCTCCATGTCCAAGAAGAAGACCTTGACTCGGTAGCCCAGAGGCAGCTGGATACTCCACTGGCACTTGAGGTTGTTGGGGTAGAAGCTGGGGTACCGAGGGCTGGTGAAATTCCCTCTGATGGTGGTGAACACCTCCTGGCACTCACCTGCTCAGGGAGAAAAGGGAAAGGAATCAATGAAAGCAAATCTGAAGCACCTGGTTGTGGTCAAGCTGGTGGCTGAGCAACCACTTCTTTTGTTGCTCTTAATTTATATCCTCTGCCCTCCACCTCACTGCTCCCCAGCCAGTGTTCGGCTGATGGACACTCGTCAGTTTGGGGAAATGGCAACACCCAAGGTGGCCAAAGTCCTACAAAAGCAGGTAGGGAAAACCAATATCCACAGGGAATGGCATGAGCAAGGGAGAAGGATGTCTCTTGCTCAAGAGAAAGACAACCTAGGGCATGGGAGAGCCACAAGGACACCTTTTGCATCACGTGGTGGTTTACACTTCACACCACCAGCTCACGAGCTCCAGCCAAACGGTTCCCCTCTACTGTCACCTCCTCCTGCTGCAGTGGGAGAGAGACCACCACAACCCCACCTCGGGGGTCCATCCCCACACCCTTCCCACTGTCCCACCTCCCCAAGACCCCTGCACCTGAGTAGAAATGGGCCTTGAAGCCC